ACCTGTAGTCCCAGCTACTCAGGAGGCTGAGGCAGGAGGATCACTTTGAGCCCAGGAGTTTGAGCTATGATAGCACCACTGCACTCCAGCCTGGGTGACAGAGCGAGACCTTGTCTCTAAAAAAGTTTAGAAAATTAAAAATAAAAATAAAATGAACATGAATAGGCTCTGAGGGAGGACCTTGGGACTTTGTATAAAGGATGTGTAGTTTTTTGCACTGATACTAGTGCTACTTCAGTTTCTTGGTAGCTTTTCTTGCTTGCTTCTTGGTTCTTAACTGTTTTGAAGAGATAAAATCACATCTAAGGAACTGCTCTATCATAGAAATATATGGGGAAATATTCTTTTCTCTCTAATGGAAAGACCTCTTTCTGACTCTCAGACTGGTCCTTCTTGGTGTTTATCCTTGGAAAGGGCAATAGAATAAGTTCTTACAGATGGATTTAGCAATGTTTAAGGCCTTAAAAATGGAACTATTTATCAGTTATGTTTGGTGGCACCTATGTACTGCCAACAGTATAAAAAAACAAAATTCTCTTTATTGTCTTTGACAAGATCACACATAAAATTGCTAGATTAAATTTTTTAGTATAGCCATTGATTCAACTTTGCCTTTCTACATTTGGTTCAATGGCTTTTTTCCCCAGCACTTTTTATTGTTCTCTTTTTATTTTTTAATATGACTTTTCCGTAATGTATCTCTCCCCATCAAACCACAAAGTTTGCTACATGTGTTTTTCTTTATTCCTGTTCTGTCCTAAAGATTTAGCACAGTGGTATTTAATTCTACCTTTACGCTCATTTAATCTTAGTATCTTTTTTATTTCTGTTAGAATACAGTTAAAACTCAGTTTGTGTATAATAAACTAATCATTTGTAATAAATGAATGTAATTTATGTATAATAAGCTGTGATAATCAAAATCAGTATAATTAAAATCTATGTACTGCTTCAGTTTTGTTTGTCAGGTCATTTACTCATTCAACAAATATATTTTGAATATCTGTGAAGTGTTGGTATGTTCTAGGCATTGGGGGTCATAGTAAACAAGATAAGTCTCTGCCCATAAAGAACTAACATTGAGTGGGGGGCAATAAACAAATAGTAATTTTAAATTGTAGTGGATGTAATGCAAGAAAATAAGAAGGGTGATTTGTAGAAAGTATTGGAGGATAGTTGCTGCCTTTGGTCTCTCTAAGGAAGTGACTTTTGAATACCAAGAAACCGAGTACGTAAATGGCCAGAGGTGGAGGACTCGGGTTCTAGGCAGAGGGAAAGGTGAATGCAAAGCTCCTAAGTGAGGAACCAGGGCGATGTATTTGGGGACTGGAGATAATGAGAAATGCAAAAAGTGTGAGATGAGATGAGGCTAGAGGAGCAGACAGGCCAAATCACCCATGGCCTTGTCATCGTGGTAGGGAATTTGGTTTTTGTTTTTTGTGTTTTTTTTTTTGAAAGAGACTCTTGCTCTGTCACCTGGACTAGAGTGCCATGGCGTCAGCCTAGCTAGCTCACTGCAACCTCAAACTCCTGGGCTCAAGCGATCCTCCTGCCTCAGCCTCCCAAGTAGCTGGGGCTACAGGCGTACACCACCACGCCTGGCTAATTTTTTCTATTTTTGGTAGAGAGAGGGTCTCGCTCTTGCTCAGGCTGGTCTGGGAATCCTGACTTCAAGCAATCCTCCCACCTCA